AAACTTTCCGAATCTCTTGACAAAGAGAGGACACATATTTATTTATAAAAGACATGAAAAAGTGAATTTTTTTGTATTAGGTGACCTTAAAGTCTATTGGACAAACAACTCTATGTGCAAATATGCCTGGGCACTGTTGTATTTTCTTTCTAAAGGAAGACACTGGCCATGCAGTCAGTAATTTAAGATTTGAGAACCACAAAAATTAAAATATGACTTTAAAGGGACGTGCATTATCTCTATTTAAACGTCCCTGTACTACTGCTGTCACTTGAAGGACACGCTGATGCAGGGTGATATGGGTTACTTTCATGCACAGAGGAGAGTGTGATTAACTCAATAATTTAATGAATGTTCCCGCAAAGTTACATTAAAGAAGAAAAACATTCGACACACACGCATGCACGCGCACACACACACACACACACACACACACACACACACACACACACACACACACACACACACACACACACACACACACACACACACACACACACACACACACACACACACACACACACACACACACACACACACACCAAATACCAAACCCTCTGAAGCAACAAACATGAACTCAGTTCCATTTGATATGTATCTGCGGTAAGCTGCCCCCTGCCTTCACAGCAAGCTTGCAGCCAGGATGTAATGCAAACCCCCCCATGGGTGTTCAGAGCAAAGCCAGGGCAACAACAGTAGTGTTATCGGTGTCAGAGCCACTGGTTAGACTGTATCAGATAAAGACATGGGGAGGTGGGAAACTGGATTTACTTTGCAGCGAAATGGGGTTACAGCAGTTTACACAACAACAATCAGTGTACAGCAAGTCATCTAAAAAGACGGATGGAGATTGGTGTGCGCTGGATTTAACAGATAGATTAGCAAAGCATGACACTGTGCTCTGCCTGAACTCATAAAATGCTTAGTTTCAGTCAGGTGTTCATGTGTTTAGTTGGTTTTCACGGCTCTGCTGTAATCTGAAAGCTTACCTGGCAAACTGGAAATAAATGCAAATAAACCCAGAAGTGTGATGCAGAGGTGGAGCAGAGGATTATGCTGGGTTAGTAAGAACCCAGCAAGTCTTCATACCTGATGACGAAATATGTTCACGAAGCCCGGCATCTCTTTGAGTTTACTTGTATTTGGGTTAGGTCTGCACACAAATACCATTTTAGATCCTTGATCTTCTAGTTTCCCTGTGGTATTTCTGCTAATCAGTAAGAAGCATAAAAACCGGCCTCAAACTGCATACAAATTAAAATACATTTACTTTGTGAAACAAATCTCAAAAGTTATTTCACAATGAAAACATGCCTTTTTAATATTAAAACAAATTCCTCCTATATAATATATGTCTCATCGATATTAAGGGAATGTGTATGTAGGGGTTTTGATTAAATGAGTCGAATAACAAAATAAAGCCTGCGGGCGTCAGGTAAAACCTCTCGCACGAACAGAACCAAAGATCTGCCCTGAAGCATGGTCTTGTAGAAAAGGTGTTTTTAAAAATAATTACTCCAGCTAGGATTCACAACGTTCAAATCAAACCAAATCAGAAAAATGAAAGACAGCTAAGAAGTCTCAGAAGAGCAAAAAGAGTTTCTGGCTGACGATATTTGCAGAAATTAAGTTTGCATTAAGACAAGGAATCCCTTGGTGTTCAACAACCTGATTGGCCAAGAGGGAAACACATCAACCTCCTCTCAATTCTTAATCAGGAGCCAAAAAGTGATCTGAATCACCCTCCAACTCAGTGAAAATATGACGATTAGCTTAAATGAATAGCATAAAAGGGAAATAACAAAAAGTAGCAAACAGTGAGCGACTGCCACACCCCCCATGCATTTTCTTTGCTAATAAAATTCACAGTTAAAGTCTGACATTTTAGGAAATACACTTATTTGCTTTCTTGCCTTTGTGATCAAGATATCCATACTTTTACCTATGCCTTTCACAGACAGAGAACCTATATAAAATAGCGAGACGACATACCTCTTGCTAATACATGCCATTTCAAAAAAGGTGTTTTGGTTAGCGTGCATTATGTGATACTTCAATCCAAGTGTGACCACCCCAGTGTGCCACAATTAGCTCTGAGTCGAGGGCTGTTAGCGGGGGCATGCATGGGTGTTCTAATATGTGCTGGAATTATTTCTCTCCTTATGCAGGGACTTCCTGTTCAATGTGTCAAAATATTCCTTTAACGCTGGAACCAACACAGGCCTAAGTAACCTTGTTAAAATGAATCACTCACTAAATTAGTAATATATTGCACAGACAGCACACAGATGATGTATCATGCTTCCTTTACAGAAGTCGGTATGAATGGTCACACACACACACGTAGTTTCAGGGACACACTTTAATGCCTTGTGCATGTAGTGGCTCTACAGGGATAGGAACTCAGTCCCTGACATCATTTGCTGTCTTCTGAACTATGAATTGAGAGCTAGATCACACGGCATGGCATCCGTCCCGATGTTACTCTTTCAACTTTTACCCTCCAGACCATGACTCGCACTCCTTCCAGGCAATTAGCAGATGCACCATATTGGCTTGGCTTGTGGCCGCATAGAGTTACATTACAATTTGATCAGTGACAAGTTGCATTATCTTGGACTTCAAAACGCCGGGGAATCTTAGGAAGCATTCGGACTAATTTGAGTTACCCCGCTAGAGAAGACTTAACAGCGGTGTTCCTGGATAGAAGCTTGTAAAGCTAATTATCAGCCGGCTCTGATATCTCTCTGGATTTACAACAGAGAAGTGTATTAAATATGAAAATAAGATAAAACCAGTCATCCGTGTTGTTTGAGTTACCAGAAAGCAGTTGAGCAAGACTTAAAAAAGATGAGGAATTATACATGTTATACATACCAGTACGTGAGCCTTTTTAACCTTATGATGTGAAGAAAAATGCTAATGCTAAAAGAAAAATCCAAACAACTGGTGAATACATTTCAATATCTATACATTGTTACAGTTAATAGTTATGTAGTTATGTTCCCTAAGTTTAGAGCTAATTTTCATGGGAAAAAAAGGTTTAAAATTAATATCTGTCTCCGGTGACACAGCTCCTCATATCTGTTCAGAAACTGGACAAAAGTTAAAGAAGTACAAACAACAGACTGTCTGTGTCATGGTGAATACAGTCGCTGGTTTATTTCTGTCTGTAGGCCGTTGTTGTGAGTTTGGACGGAGCATATACAACATTAGCTTAGCCTGATCGATCCGATCTCCATTCAGAAAACACACATTTTAAAAGGTTTTATGTTTTTACTTCGGCATCATTTTTGAAACGTGTATTACAATTAAATCACGGTAAAATATGTTCATTTTGTTGTAGTTGTAGCTCCCTAGCGAGCGCGTCTTGTTTCAATGATGCTAGTAAACACAGCTGACAGCCATGGTGAAACTCGAGCATGTGTCAAGTTGAAAATTATTTCTTCATATCTCAGGACACTTTATACTATTTATTTAAATTAAAGTGAGACAGCTAATCAAGTCTTTTGATGTTGTATAAAGAGTCTACAATGATGAATGCAGTTCACAACATTGAACTGATCACTGCTGGGAGTCCTGAAGCAATTGTAGCAATGAAGCAATTAATATCCAAAAACTCATTTAATTAAACATGTTTCCATTATTGATGAGCTCAACTACCTGCTATTTGTTAGCAATACTCTCTGGAGTCAGGATGAAAATCTAAAAATCTAAAGTTTATTATCTCTTAGATGTTTTTGTAAAATTATGGAATATAACTTTTATCATTCTTACCCCCAGCACATTCCCTTAAGGCTTGCTTAAGGGTGTTTCCATTGTAGATCACTGTTTTGAAATACTGTAGCACTAACCCTTGATTCTGATTGGCTGGTATCATATTGTACATAGTAACCACTACAGACACCTCTGATATGGCTTCATTTGTAGAGTTATAGTTCCATTATTAAAGCTGCACTAATGCAATTTTTTCATTATTATCAAAGATCAAATGACTTCAAATGGATGCTTACATTCTGCAGGTATGCAGAATCGTTATAATTACTGTATTGATTACAATTAAGTACACATCCCGTGATCCTCTAATCTCGATCTGCCCAGGAAAATGTTAGTCATTATTATTTATCATGTATAAATATGCAGTTAGAACAATAATCAAATGCCAAACCCTACAGCATTCATAAGGAACTCACCAATTGCGTAATTTTTTTAGTATACCCTTACATTTGCTCCTACCCATACTTTGAATATGTATGGGCTACTTTTATACAAACATTTAAATATCACTTTAAACTTACCCTAAAAAGCATTAAAAAAGCAGGCCCAAAGAAACTCCACCCATGTCGCTACAGCGGGGCCAAGGCACTATCTGTGGAAATTAAGATAGTACATGATTTAAGAGAGAGCTAATTAAAAGCTATTTAATTTGCTCTGATATCTTCACTTGCTTTATTAATAAGGACATTTTACTTAAATGTATTGCAGATTCCTAGGTGTGCAATGGCGCTGTATAATCTTGTTCATGGTGATAACAGCACCTCGCGGGTATAAAGCAACATGGGCAATCATTTAATCTTCGTTAAGATAATTTCTTTGGTGTTAATAAGTGAACACTTTATGGGAGATCTACAGTAAAGTGGCATTGTTTAAGGAAGAAATGTTTCTTCTGAGTTAATGTTTTTCAAAATGTCATTTCTAAAAAAATAATGGAGCTCCACAAACTGCATTGGAGGCAGACAACTTTAAGATTTTATCGTAAAACCTTGGCAGATAAAGCCTAGACTCTCATGGCCAATGGAAACCAAAATCCTTTTTACATTAAAGGTCTGCAAAGGCTGCCTTTCTCACCAAGCTGCATGTTCTTCTGCCCTTTCATTTACCTCAATGTTATCTTTTTTACATGGGAAAGTCTATCAAATGTTCACTCCCTGTTTATTACTCAGCAAATACCAAACACACTGACATACCACAGATAAACCCCCACACACTTCAAGGTGTTCCCCATTTATAAAATGTGAATGTTTATTAAATGTCGACAAGAACATTAAAACACAGTATCAAGATTCAGCAAAACAATCTATAGTACTTCACCAAAACTAAAAGAAGAACAGAGTTAGTTCTGCGCTGGGACTGAGAGTGAAAAAGCATAGCAATAAAGAGGCAGGGAGTCGGGGGCTGGGAGCAGAATTTAGGAGCTTTGGAATGAGGGGGAATTGGCAGCAGAGGCTAAGGCAATTAAGGAGGTACACAGTAAGAAAGATAGGAGGTTTGGGGACCGGGGGGGGTCGATCAGGGGGGGTCGATGCACTGTAATGAGCGGGATAACTTGGAATGATTAGAGCCTCTGATTTCACTCTATTATCATCAACCTCCGTTGGAAACTTAGCAAGCCGCAGCAGAGAGGGTGACTACAAAGGCATTCACTCAACAGGAACGCAGAAGGGGGGCATGGCAAATTATACTTTTACATTTAAATAACAAGAGGGGGAAACTAGCATCAACATATACAGTGGGCACAACGCTGCGTTGAGGTGGATGGAGATTTAGGGAGTGGGTTCTCGGGGGGATTTTAAGGGTTTCGAGCGCAGTTCAACACAGTACCAGAAGGTGGTGTCCACTCTTATGGGTTCACAATCACAATAAGTAATAGTTCATTATAATTATGTAAATCTCTCTGTTATCAACACAAATAGCAAGGGGGGGGAGGCAAGTTGTACATAAGCATCACAATACTTCAAAAATGTCCACAAAGACGCACTCCCGCTCTGTCGTCTGGCTCATGCACATTGGGCATGTACAAACCGCAGCATGTGCATATATGTGTACACACAGAGACACTGTAGACACACACATGTGCACACACACACCCTCTGTCTAACACAGGGACACACACACACTCTCACATTCGTTCTCACACGCAGTCCAGCTCCTTCCCCTTGAGTGACTTCAATCATTTGCAATTTGCCATATCCTCTGACATTTTCAAACCTCACACTCTGTGCCATAATAACATCAGTAAGTATTTGTAGCATGAGTCTGTGCTTTTTAATGTTGAAGAGAAGAGGCTGATGTCCTCAGAGACGTAGATCTGTATGTAAAACAGCCGAGGTGCTGCAGAAACACACACAGCCGCGGGAGATCCTTCCAGAAACGGTGATGGCGGAACAACTCGCAGCAGATCCAGAGTCATAGGCATTCAGCGCAGCAGTGCTACACTTTAACTCACTGTCAGCTGGGGCAGCAACACATTTAAAACTGTCTCCCAGTGCCACGCAAATGCCAAGATGTCAGAAAGATCATTTGTTTCCAGCTGGCAGCGATGTGCCAAAATCCCTCTCTTATTGTGCCTCCATAATATTTATATTTGTGCTGCAGATTTGAACGGGCGTGTGCTTTAGGGATAATCAAATTCCTCCTCTTCACTCGTATCCGACCTTCAGAGCGGCACGGGACACTCCCACTTGTTGATCAGGTCGAGAAAAGTTCTGTAAATACTCTTTATTTATTTTTTTGAACTGGTGGATTTGTGAAGTCCATGTGCTTGAGTATTCTTTGTGTTGTAGCATAGTAAGAAAACAGCTTCACATGCTCTAAAAGTCAAACACACTGTACAATAGAATCTACAGATTTTTTTTAAAGCTTTTAGTACATCCAAATAAACTTGAAACAAAGACAAAGGTTGATTCACCGACTTGAAAAATAAAGATAGAGACGGGAAATCAGGATTGCACTATTTTCTGCCCACAGTTTGCCTTTGTGTTTTTTACTTCATGAAATGTTTTTTTTCCTTTTCTATTATTATTCTTTTTTTATTTGCGGATTTTGTTTTGGCCATAACACATTGTAGAATTCCTACTCAGAAGACGGCGGTTGAGAGCGTCAAATCTTATTTTACAGCAACTTTCTCAACCTTTTCTCATGACATGAGACAATGTGTCACACAAGTAAAACCTATAACAAGCAACTAAAAACAAAAAGAGGACAAATAAAAAGGTGGGAATGGGATGGGTTGTTGTCAAATACGAATATAAATGTCCTTAACAAGTCCGATACAATCTAATAAACTAGGGAAGGTCTGATACAGTTTTTGATTCATCTTAAATGTTGTCATCCCTCTTGAATTTAGTTTTTCCTTTCTATTACTTTACATACATTACGGGCGCTGTTATCCCACGCAAACTACCTTAATGAAGGGAGTGAAAGTGTGCCAGCCATGCGCCATGTTGAGTCTGTCGGTGCTAAACATGGTCAATGGAGACGCTCAACTGAACACATGACAGGAACTTGATAATGTTAGAGAACTCTGTCCGTGGCTCCCTGTCGTAGACTCGCACACACACACACTCTCTCTCTCTCTCACACACACACACACACACACACACACACACACACACACACACACACACACACACACACACACACACGTGCTGGGTTACCATCTGTGAGTGCTGCATCAGTTGGCCAGTACTCAGCTGGCAGGCAGATCAGACAAAGTGCCCAATATGCTCCCTAATGGCCCAAGTCAGATGAATGAGATCCTGCGTTGTCTCTTTCTTTTTGCACCTCCTCTCCTTCCACTTCCTCACTCGCCTCTGATTCGCACTGCCCCCCTTTCTTTCTCGACTGATTTAACTCTTGTCAAATTGTTTCCCCGTTCTCTCCATCTCTGTCTCTTTCTAATTATCTGAGATGCTGCACTCCTTTCCCCTAACCCTGCTGGGTCTCATTCACACGGATCAGGGATGTACATGTGACACAGTATACCACTGCGCTGTCTCTCCTCACCACTGGAGGATCTTGTATCTCCTTTTTCACTTTTTTGTGAAGGGTTTGTTTGTTTTATACTATATTTGGAGCGTTCACAGATTATACAGCTATGGGCAGTGAGACTGAACCACAATTGAAGTGCCATGTCAGCGCAGATGGGAGGTCAGAGCCACATGTCAGGAGCGAATTACTAGTGTGTGATCCTGCCGGCGATGCTTGGACCGCCATGTCAGACTGAGTAAAGCTAGCTCAGTGGACTGTGGATTTCAGAGCTCTGGTATGTTGCTTTTGTGAGCTGAGCGATCAGAAATATGAATGATGATGGTTATTTTTTAAGAAAGGGACCATGAGGAAGAATAATGGTAGCCTGCATGACACTAGTAGCTGAATGATGGGGGAGCAAAAAGGAAGCGAAACATAGGGAGGGAACTAAACTCACAGAGGTATGTTTTAGTGAATAAACTATATCAAGAAACTCCGCCTAGCTGTCAGAAATTGTGGTTGGTAATGTTTGTAACTTTTTCCTGCTGTCTGTCTTATTTTTTGTCTTGGTCACGGGTGGGTCTTATCTTCATCTCGGAGAACTTGAGGGAGTACTGCCAGCCGGTCCAAGTGGACCACTCGATGCCGTCGGCGTAAGAGGTGTGCTGGCCCCGCAGGTACTGCCCGTTCAGGTTGGAGGTGTGGCAGTTGCGGTACCACCAGGCCCCGTGGTAGAAGGAGGCGCAGTTGTTCTCCGAGTGGTCGTTATCCCGGTCTTTGGTGGTGAACTTCATCCCATTGTGCTTCAGCAGAGCGTCACCTAGTGGGGGAAAACGTTTCATTGTCAGAACATAGTGCATTTAAAAGAATAGGCTAAGGCTTATTTCAGTGTATAACAAGTCGCCTGGTTCAAATGTTATCCGTGGTTATTAAACATATAGATGGAGGTCAGATAGGGGGCTTTTGGAAATACTAGAAGGTTTTAAAATCTGCTTACACGCTTGATGACCAAAAGATAGAATTCAAAAGACAAAGCTTTAGGTATAACAGGAGCAAAGGTGGAAGTGAGAAGACACAGGACAGACAAAGTAAACACAGGACTTTTGCATACATTAATAGTTACCGTCACGTGTAAAATGTGTCATTTTGTTCGCATTAGGTTTCATTTTCACTTATCAGATGTTGTCAATTTAACCCAAACCACCACCCTTTGGGTCAGCAAAACGTATATGCGATGTGAAATCCAAAAACATTTAAAAAAAATAAAATAATACTTTATTCCGAGTGTGCTTGCTTTTCTCTTTGAAAGTCATCACATAACGGCATTGTAATACACGGTTCAGCTGCATTACATATTACATATCTGCCGTAGTTCTCTATTTATAGAGCCCTGATGAGAAGACTTCTAGACAAACAGGAGAACTGCCGCCAAAACTGAAAACGTGACGTGGATCATAAATATATCAGCAATTAAACAACATCTTACATTTCTTTTCACACAATACGTCTCCTCGCAGTATCAACACTAATTCGGCTGACTTTTATATTTGATCCAATTGGTAGATAGGCTGTATTTACACCATAACGGTGCACAGCTGATAGAAAGGGACACATGGTGGTTAAAGCACGTTATTGAATTTTATTATTTTATTATTGGATTTGGTTAATGGAAAGAAAACGTGTTAATTAAAGTGCACGCATATTATATTTATAAATATATACATAAGTGAGTTTACTGCTAAATGCTTTAGTTTAAAGTTGAGCATAATTCATGTAGCAGTAGTCGTCAGAGATCATAGGAACATAATCAGACAGCCTACAAGATTTATTTATAAATTCATTGTGTTTAGCAACCCTGTCACCGGCTTTTACAGCTTAACAACAAGCGCCACCCACTTGGAGTATTCCCGTTTCTCCTGATCAGTCACTGCCACATCCCAATTGTGCTGAAAATATCTGCTCACCTTACCAACATTGTTCACTGGCAGTGCTCTCCATCAATAGCCAATTTGCAAGCAATTGCTTTAAGAGTTTTACAAGTAAAGCGAAAGCAACATCACAAAGTTTTAGCAATTTAATGTTCAATCAGATTATAATGTTCAAAAAATTCAACATAACCAAACCCCCCCTCCCCCGTGCTGCACTCTCCGTCCTTTCCTTTATTTCTAAAGCAGGCTTCACACTGTGACCAGAAGTGGATGAAGGATGGAGCTGAGAGCAGAATGAAAGCGCGCTCACCAGCCATCAGGTGCGAGCTAACAGCTTGTGAGGGCATCAAACAGCCCTTAATTGCTCAGGATGTGGCCGCCCAGCTCCTTACCCTCTCACTCTCCCCCATACTCTGTTCTCCACTTGGCATTACCATGGTAACCAGTCACTGGAAAAATAATCTGGCAGGCGAGTCTGATATTCATGTTGTGTGCTGCTGCACGTTAGGAGAAAAAAGAGACGGGGGGGAGAAGAAGAAAAAAGGAGACGCTCAATGGCATTGACAGTGAGATGATATCCGGGGGATTTAGAAAAAGAAGAAGTGAGAAAAATACTGAAAACAGAAAGAGGCACTTAAAGGCTCATTTACGCCGTGCCGGTTGTCACCTTAGTGGTTGGGGGCCGGCAGCCTCCATTGATGCCCATTAAGATCCAGCTGCTTCGAGCCCAAATGAGCACCTGTCAGCTGATCGGAAAACAGCCGCGGCGAATAATAATAATAACAGTAACACTGCCTAAAGGGGGGCCGAGGTGAAAGCATCCAGAGAGAGTTTGAAGACCCTTCATTTGACCTAATTCAAATGTCCAACAGGCAGATGAGTTCAAGGTCAGCCCGTGCTGAGGATAAACGCATTACAGGACACCATGTCTGGGAAAGAGTGGTGCCACATTTTTCTATTTCCCAGTCTTCTGCCCTCTTCTTTCCCTTCAAACTTGATCCTCATTTCATTTTTTCTTCCTCTATCCCAGTTTTCCCCAACCTTTCCTTTCCACTTTTCCTCTTGTGCCATTTCTCATATCTGTCCCCATTCTCTCGTTGTGTTCCAGCACCAGGTTTTTAAATTGCTTCTTCATTTCCACGGCAGGTTTTTTGTTTACGCTGCAGGTCAAGCAGTGCAATTAGTTTGCGGTAATTTAATAAGGTGACAGGAAGCTGGCTTGGATCTGATGTTTGGGGGGCAGAGGTAAAGACACTCCCTTTCTCTGTGCAACTGTCTGCATGGTTTAACGAGTGGATTCACCTCACTGTAAAAACAAATGTACTATGTACGACAGTGACCTTATGTAACCTTAGTAGAGAAACAAGCAAGATACTTAGTGTGAAAAAAATCCGGTTTTCATTAAGCATATTCAGGCAGTAGCCTATACGCCATTGAAACACATGAGCACACACTTCAGTTTAAGAAATCAAATCTGAGCTGACAGAAAATGCTCCGTTATGGTTTAATACACACACTATTTTATGAACATCTTTTTTTTGTGCCCAGCCATGTGTTTATTTAATTTCTTTATTTTTTTCCCCCTATTTGTGTAACTGTTTTCCTTTTGTCCCTCCTACTCTTTCTACTTATATAGCATCCTTGGGTTTCATTAAGGTGCTATATCAATCCAAGTTATTATTTATAATAATACAAATTATTATTGTATAGGTTCACCTACTGAATTAAAACACTGAAAAGTGAAAAGTGAAAGCCCTAAAGAGTATTCAGGAAGTAGGCGTATAGATTCACACTTCAAAGTGTTAGCTTACAGAACAGTACATCTTACAGAGAAGAATCTGATCTTTTAACAACAAACCCAATATGCTCCTTTCAGTTTTTAAGTAACATTTTAATTCTACTATTCTCCAATATTTTTGAAATGTAACAGTAATCCGATTTGTTATGTACCTGTCAATAACCTTTGTTTTGTATCCTGATTATGTAATCTGGTTACATGTAATCCTAATCAATCAGATGCAGGAAGTGTAAGTATCTCACTGAGAATACATACCTGCATTGCCAGAATAGTCTCCCACAGTCAAAGGATAGCCGTCATCATCAGGGTCGACGGAGAAGAGGCCCACTCCAAAGGTTCCATACTGGGCGTAAGCGGTGCTATTTTCAAAGTCCTCCAAGTCGATCCGCAGCTCATAGTTGCCCTGGATGGACAGAGCATGGATCTGCTTCAGCCCTGCGAGCGAGACACAGACCAAAACAATCCATTACAAAGTACTACCTCTGTTCTCTGCAAACAATTTAAAGCTATTTCAGCAGCCTCTCAACGCCGTACATTTTCTGGAAATAAGATGTAACATGGCTTTTGGCCCATTTAGAGGCTCCCCGTGCATGTGTAGGGTTTCTTTCCAAAAACAAGATCCTCTTTTTTTTTACAAAGTGCACACTGCTCTCAGAACTGTTTGCCAAGAGGATGGAAAGACCCGTTTAATCTGCTGAAACAGTTTTTACAATGACAGTTTGCGGTCTTTTTTAAGCAACACATTTTTATAAGAACATCTGCACAAACATTGTGAAATAATTGTATGTATCAGCAATGTTTAGCACATTTCAAATATGTATTTATATCTGTATTTCATCAGTGAAAACCTCATTCTTAACCTCAGTTTCAGCAGGCGTGGGTTAGATCTCAACCATTCCGCATTCTTAATGTTAGAGATTAGGAATTTGTCTGTAATTGCTTTAAGACAAGGTTAAGTTTCCTGGATAAAGGACATATTGTAACATTTCACCTGGCCATGTACTATAGGTAATGTGTTGTTTGGTCCAAAAATACCTTTTTTGGAGTAAACTTTTCCATGAATGTGAAATTGAATTTGAGCAACCTAATTCAATTAAAACATTTTAATATAAAAGATGGAAATCTACCGGCAGGGTCAACAACATCAGTGGCCTCCTGGTTATAAAACATGCAAAGTAGTCAATTGCAATCGGCGCTCACATTAATCATGTGTTTGAAATGGACTGCAGCTTCATTCAACAACACCGATTAAATATGATTATTTCAGATCTCAAAGCTGATCTCATTTTTTTATTTTTGTGCCCTTCAGCTCTGCTCTGACCAGAAAAAAAAACGACTTTAGTCTAACATAATATATATTTTAAATCAGTGATATAAAAGCTCAATAGACTAACATGATGCACTGCTGGAGGAGACATTAACACCCAGCGTGAAGAGGAAAATGTGGTTAGAGTCATAGTTAGTGCAGCAGTTAAGCATAAATAGGTTGTTTTGTTTCATTGTGCTCAGGAGTTTCCTTCGTTTTTTAAAGAAACAATATTTTTTTCTCTCCGTCAGTTCAATTCGTATCTTGATTAGTTTGATAGTTTGTTTGTCAGAAGGATTCTTGCAAATCAATAAGCCTGATTAACATGAAACTTACTGTCATATTATAATATGGGCAGAGGAAGAACACATTACATTTCAAATCTACACGGTGCAGATTCACTCATTATTTTTCACAGCCTTGGAGAAGCACTAAGCTCTTCAAATGCCTAAGGTAACTTTTGATTCCACACATATGATAAAGCATCAGCTATAAGCACATTAATACGGGACACTCTAGAATCTGATGTTGTTTGCATAAAAGTATGATTTTATAAATCCTCGATTGTGTGCATGAAGTCATTAGTTATGATAAAGTCTTCTGAATTCTTGTGAACTTGTTCACATCCACATGTCTCAGCTATTTCCAATTCCAGCTTGCCACCTCTTCATCAGATGCCCCGAACCACTCTTTTAATTGTTGCTCAAACCTTTGGAGAGAAATGTGTAAGACAGAAAGTGCCAGAAGGAAAAAGGATTCCCATCCCTTCTTCCTTGCCCCCTCCTGCCCCCCCCCCCCGCTGTGTTGGAGTGATGGTGTGTCCCTGGGCGTGTTTTCCTCTCCTGAGTTGATCAAAGGCACCAGATGAGTGGTGTGTCAGGCGGAGAGGAGCAGGAGGAACTAAACCTGGGTCCTCCAACACAAAATTGAAGGCAGGAAGACAAACAAAAGTGAACTCAGCCTCAAGACTGAGTTAAACAGCCTTCCTCCATGCCTATAAACGCACTCTATGCAGTGTTTCTTTGGGAGACAAAAAGAAAATAAATAACATTTGAAAGCCACCCTGATAACAGGGCTTCAAAGACTTGGAATTACAGCATGTAGAGGAGGCTGTAGGCTGGTTAAGGTTTGTTTTTCTGTCTCTGCTGTAACGTGAATCACCATGAAAGCAGCTGCACCACAGGAAGCAAGGTGTCTTTATGAACCTAAACACTGTCATATTACCTCCTGCTGCAATCATCACCTTCACAAATGAAACTCATTCTCCTCTTTAATGCCTTCAAACCTCAAACTGACTTTGCCTAATTTGAATTCCGTCGTTGAAATGGCACTCTGCGAGCGGCTCGCCTAAAGTAGAGAGCTAATTTGATGACAAACACAGCTGAAAGAACCCATTATTATTCAGAGAGGGGAGCTTGCAGGCTGGGCCCGGGCACTTAGTGAGGATTGAATCTAGCCCAATGGGAGGTTGATCCTGCTCTTTTCATTTTCACAGCGGATCAGTAAAATTGGAGGTGGAAAATCAATGATTAATACATTCATGGGTAGGTAACTTCACGCAAACTAACCCGTTTTTCCGTTAATTCCTAAAATATATACTCATGGATGGATCACATGCAACACATTTTGATGCATTCAAAGGAACAAAAATGGCTAATTTGCAGAAAGTTTTCTTGTCACAGTCCTTTGAGAAAAAGTATCAATCCACACAAACACCTAAGGGAAAAGTCATTTCACAAACTTCAAAAGACTTGGGATGTTTTCTCTTTCGGGAAAAAAAGGAAATAAAAATAAAGTACCAGATGCAACACAACTCTATTTAAAGACTTCCAAGTGTATTTACATAACTTTAATTCAGTCTCTAATTAAAGCCCCAGAGAATCTCCGAGAGACTCAGAATCTGAATAATTACAGGGAAAGACTAACGCAACAACAACAGAGACTTCTTTGGTTAAAATCTAAATGCTCAGGTGTAACTCGCTGTTAATTAAATCCATTGTTAGGTTATTTAAAATGGGCTCTGATACAAGGGAGGATTCAGAGGTGTTTTGCTTCAGTATTAACATGCTGATTGTTCCGTTGGGAAAAATACTTCTCTCTTCTCACTGATTTGTCGTTTACGGGAAGCTTAGCGGAGAGTCCAAAAACTTCTGCCCTCCCACACGCTTTAGATGTGCAATTAGGGGTTTCTTTCTTTATTCCTTGCTTTTAAATCCAGGCCATATTGAGGCACATTGTTTTTAATTGCTGTTTGTATCGATTGGACATTTATAAAAATAAAGTGTTAATGTTGTTATAATATTAATATTATTTTCAATTATTAATATTTGATTAATATTTTTCAGAAGAAGGTCTTTCTTTTGAAGTATGACAAATCACTCGAGGATAATTTTCCCTGAAGTGTGTGGTGGTTTGATACTTTTTCTCAAAGCACTAGGACAAAAATAATATGTCCTCGAATGAGCCATTTTGGTTCATCTGAAAGTGTAAAAGGCAGCGCATCTTGAATATATTTGTGTGTGTCTATAAAGCCATGCTAGTTGCTGTATCTGGGCACAGTGACATTTAAACTCTACATTTAGCATACTAACGTAGCCAAAACAAACGTACTATTGTTGTCATCTTAGTTTAGCATTTTAGCATGCTAACATTTGCTAATAAGTACAGAAGGGGCTGTTTTCATAAGCTTTGCAGGTATTTGATCATTAAACTAAATATTGGATTCATTACAGATGTTATCTAATGATAATAATAATAATAATCCTTATATTTATTATAGCGCTTTATCAATGACTCAAAGCGCTTTACAAATACACATTACATATACAGATCATACATACATGTAATGGTCATCTACTGTGGACAATACCCACAGGAGCAAGTTCAGGTGAAGTGTCTTGCCCAAGGACACAACAGCTTTACAGACGCAGCGGCGGCAGGTTTCACCCCCCTTGATCAATGCACTGCGCCACACGCCCATCTTCACACCCTCAAAGTCATCGAGGCGCTTTACAAGTCACATTGATATTATACATGGTACTGTGGACAATACCCACAGGAGCAAACTCGGGTGAAGTGTCTTGCCCAAGGACACAACGGCCTGACGCAGTGGGGTGGGAGCGGGTTTCGAACTGGAGTTCCCCAGAACCCCCTTGATCTGATGATCAAACGCACAGACCACTGCGCCACCCCGTCCAATGATTAATCTAGACTTAAGAGTCCCATTTTCAGGTTTCATAATTGAAATATTTAATACCACCCCTTAATGTCAATATGTAATGGGATTAACAAAGGAGTCCAATGGGGGCGTTTCAGGCAGGGGGCGAGTGAGTGGGGGAAAAACTCCCTCTGGAGGGAACACAGGGATTTTATTCTTTGCAGATCCTTTACATGCACAACAAACCTATATAACTACAGGAAAGGGGAAATAAGTGAAATAGGGCCTGTTTAAAAGTAAGGACCCAGTTTATGTTGCCCATGCTATCCAACACTGAAAATAACAAAACGTTATTGGGAAGCTTTGAACTTCTTTCTACACATTAATCTCCACATTACACAAGCAACAGGAATACTTATCTGATGTAATGTAAGAAGGAGATGAATAACGCTGGCACAATCAGCATCTCATTTTCAACAATCAATGTGTTTACTCATAGAAAATCTCATTTAGCGTGTGACTGATTAACAAACACGTCGATGGGGCAAAAATCTTTAAGAATGATTTGGCATTAAATCACCCATGACATCACAGTCTCCTTTACAATGTCTGCTACCGTGACAACAGCTGAGGCCTAAGAGGATACAAAAACGCAGCACCATTCACATCATTTTAACCATTTTCTTAATCATGGCCATTAATATGATTATTAGCACTTCAGGTCGTAAAAACACTAGATTATTCTCCCTATAGGTGAAAAGCAGGGCTCTCTTATAATGTTATACACAACTAATATTGATTTTCTTTGGTAATACATCTATGAAAGATGACAATACAAATGATATATATCTGCAATTACCTCATTAAACTAGGCCGTGGTAATCCATAACTCATTTTCACAGCTCTGAGGTTTATGGGAAAGAGGACACATTTAGCTTGTTTGGAACGAGAATACAGTAATTTATCATATTT